TTAATTTGGGATGATGGTTGGAAAGGACGAGTTGGAGTGAAGGGTCTGTTCCCATGCCATAGGACTCTAGCTCTATGAAAAGCTGATAATGGGAACGATGAGTAGTTGAAAATGGGTCGGCTGTGCTGTAAGCCATGTCATAACAGAGCCTAGGTTGGCGGGCCTGGGTATAGGATATGGAAGGAGTTGTATCAGGCTCTGAAACAATTGAACTCTATATTGAGCTGCAGGTTCCCAAGCAGGAGATGAGATGCTGTTCTTCCAGCTTGCAAATGCTATGGCTAGTGGAGCAAAAGGATTGTCAGCATTATTGCAAATGAAATGGTATAAAACTACAGTGAGGTTTTATATGGAAGACTAACACGTCGGTCGTGTTATGAAGGGAAATGGCCGAACCCCTCTGTTTATTAAACTAAAACACCAGCCCCAATCTGTTACGACAGGAGTACAGATTCCCCTCTAATAATTACCCAGAAACACCCAGAGAAGATTGCCTTTCCCCTCTTAATCTATTAAGAGTGGTTAAAAGGAAGAAAATCCCTAATCTCTCACTTTACAAGTAAGAAGAATTTATTTATTTATTTAACCCGACAATGAACAAATTAACAAAATTACTGACAAACCGATAATTCCCCCTTATACCACTAACTACACCCTAACTGGTCTTAATTCTACTGGAATGCTGTTTAAATAAAGACAAGTCCCACTAATATAAACCCAATTAATAAGAATCAATAAATTATAACTTAATCTCTCCAAGTTCACACAGACTGTCAACTGGAATATTGGTGTCTCCGGTCTCTTCACAAACTCTTTTCGTTTGTTAATTCTGCTGTCAGGGATGTTTTATCTCTATAATTTCTTCAATGAGGATTTTGAGCTAAAATACTGTAGAACCTTTTATTAATTAGATGGCCTTTCTCTGAGAGCTGAATGGTGCTAACTCTGGCAGGTGGCAGATGACTCTTTCAGATGGCAGTTGGCTCTCCCCAATTTTCCAAATGCCCTTGTCTTATATACCTGCAGTGACACAATCAAATTCTTATAACATATTTGGTTTCAGGTTGTCAACACCATCAGATTTAAATTCAGATGGCTTTCTGTATCTAGGTATTTTGTACAAATTAATTGGCCAAATTCCAACTTGTTGTCTTGGAAAAAATGCTACTTGGCTGGTCTATACAAAATGTTTCAATTCGAGCACTCCGTACCTGCATTTATAAACTTCCAAGCACAGACAAAGCACAAGCTCTTAAAGGGACCACAGCACTCTTCTCCACAATCATTTTTATCAACAAATTCTAACTTCCTGCCATCTAAATCACGAATACTCTATCCAACTTTGTAACAGTCAGAACAGATCAAAAGCAAGCTAAGTGCGTATGGCCCAGACCAAACCACTTAAAATATATTATGAAGATAGCCTAGACCCTAACTTTTTCTTATTTTAAAGGCAAGTGCCAGGTGTTGCAATCCAGATGCAATTTGATTGGTCAAACTATCAGTCTTGAAACAAAACACTTCACTCAAATACTATGCTTAAAGTATATCAAAAGAAAGAAGAAATTGGAAATAACAACACTATTGGAAAACTTTTAACAACTAATAGATTATTTAACTACTAAACAGTAACTGTTCCAAACAGTAACAACCCATAAACACACCCTTGGCAAAGGCAAATTCAGTAAAATAGATTGTCTCTCAGACAATTCTCCAGTCCAGGAGCAAAAAACATCAAGAGAATCCTCTGAGACAGAGTAGCAGGGAGAAATATACTGCAGCTTCCAAACACTGCTAAGATCCCAGCAACAACTGCTACTGAAAAACTAAAACTAAAAATCTTTGCTCTTGGAGCTTAACCCCACTTATTCAGGCTGCTTCTATGGTTCCAACATTTTTTTAAAAAAAAAAGAAAAAAAGTCCCAAGGCCTCAAGTTTTTTACGCTCATGGCCTGACTTGACTGGTCAGTACCTGCACTTAAACCTTTCTTCATAAAATAAAAGACAAGATACACCTCTTAAAGCCATAGTATCATCACATCAGCAACCGTCTATTTATTCCTCTCTCTCCATAGAACAATTCCAGGTCAGAATTATGATTGGGGACAATAAGTGCTCTGGAGGAATGGAAGTCTTTTACAATAAAACATGTGGCACAGTCTGCAATGATGTTTGGGACTTGAGTGATGCTCAGGTTATCTGTCCCGAGTTGAGTTGTCTTTGCCCAGGCTGTGCCTGGAAATGACAAGTTTGGGGAATGCCTATTGTCAATTTGGCTAGACTCCATTCAATGCAGTGGGTCTGAATCAAACCTCTGGCAGTGCCAGTCCAATGCAATGGGTCAGCACAACTGCCAGCACAGCATGGATGTATCTGTGATCTGTTCCAGTGAGTGCCCCAGCCCTTCCTTGTGAGATCAGTTATCAAATCTGTTACATCAAATGGCAAAAGGCAACATTTGATTTGATTTATTTATTATTGTCACATGTACCAAGATACAGTGAAAAGTATTGTTTAGCATGCTATCCAGACAAATTTTGCTTTATTTTTCATTCATGGGCTGAGGGCATCACTGGTTAGGCCAGAATTTATTGCCCAAGTCTAACTGCCTTCTGGACAATTAGACAAGAGCCAACAACATTGCTGTGGGTCTGGAGTCACATCTTTGCTTTGTTTCTTTCTCCAAAGGACATCAGTGAACCAGATTGAATCCATTGTCAAATTGTTGGAGAAAACCACAGTCATTATTTGGACTCTTAATTATAGATTTTTAAAAACTGAATTCAAATGCCACCGTTTGTCATGGCAGGATTTGAACCCTGTCCCCAGAACATTACCTTGTCTCCAGCTTGACAGTCCAGAGATACTAAGTAGTGCCATTACTGCTGCCTCCCTGCATCAAACCTTGAATAAGTACATCAGAGTAATGTAATAGAATGCAGAATATAGTGTTACAGCAACAGAGAAAGATCAATCCCAATATATGAGAAGTCCATTCATAAGTCTGATAAAAATGGGGAATAAGATGCTCTTGAATCTGTTGGTACATCTCGAATCTGTTGGGACATTGACAAGGTGGTTAGGAAGCAGTGGTTCCCTTTTGTTGAAGTGTCAGTGCCAAAACGGAACAGTTTTAAAGTGAAAGGCAGGAGGGTGAAAGGGGATTTGAGTATTGATTCACCCAAAGGATGGTGGGGGTCTGGAATGCTTTGCCTACGAGGGTAGTTGAGATGGGAAACCTCCTAACATTTTTAAAAAGTACTTGGATGAGCACTGCCAGGTGGAAGAGATTATAACCAGGGTGGGAGGGGTCTTTGGCTGTTTTCTGAGGCAGCGGGAAGTGTAGATGGAGTCAATGGATGGCAGGATGGTTTTTGTGATGGACTGGGTTGCATTCAAAACTATGTAATTTCTTACATCACATGGGAAGAAAGAAGCCAGAGGATA